TCTACACGCTCCCGAAGTTTTGCCATTTAATTTGGAAACACCCTGTATATATGTAAAAGAAACAAAATCGCATCTTATGATATATTTGAAGTATTGCATCTCTTTATTTTTCTATCGTTATCAGATTCATAAAATCATCTACGTAGTGGATACCAGTAATCTTTGTCAAATAAGTGCTGCAGGCGTACTACTTTACTCTTTCCTCGTGGAACCGAGATTACGGAATGTGAAAGTAGCACTCATCTTGAACAAGATGGATGTTTCGTATCGTCAGATGAGAAATGAAGCTTTGCTGATGTTACAATATGCGCGTCTGCAAAAGGAGATGACACAGAAGATCACCGTGCTGGAAACCAGCGGTATGACGGGTCAGGGGATAGAGAGTTTACGCAGCTGGCTATTCGATACGGAAACGCTGCGAGCTACGCTCAAGGCTAATAAATAGGCTAATAAATCGTCGCACGACGAGAAAGAACGTTACCTTAAAATGCATTTATTTTATTTACACTCGATCTTACAAAGATACAAAGATATTACTCTACAAGAATCTTCGAGCATTTATTGAAAACAATTCATTAACGAATGTTAAACGTATATTACTTCTATGTTATACGATCGTTTCTAAAAAAAATACTGCAACGGGTGTTAACGCGCAACAAATACTGAGCGTCAAAATAAATTCTCACGTAATTGTTATAAGTGCTAAAAAAAGACAATTTTATACATAGAAAAAAGGGGCCGGAAGATAAGAGAAAATTTATGTCGTTCCTTTCATGCATCAGCGATAACAAAAGTAACCGTATAAACATTCGCTCCTGCTTAAATCATCGCTTGAAAATCTTTTCTATGTATATCTTCTAATATTCTTATAGATACATTCAATAAATTTAAAATATTGTTTTACTTATACGAAATTTAATGTATCCTTGTAAGATCTTCCACTATTTTTACAAGATCATCTACCGTCGCTTCTTTCTTCATGCCGCTGCCATCGTCGATCTATGGAAAAATAGCGCATTAAGAGATTTAGGAAAATTAATTCAGTATGCTCATATACATATGTCATACATCTATGCTCATATACATATGTCATACATCATTAATTCGGAAATAGTTCACTTAGTTTTTTTGCATAAACGATTACCTAGAGTGATTTTTACATCCCAATTAAAAGTCACTATCATTAATTACATATTATATATTATTGATTGTTCTACGATTTATATTAGTATTTAAAATTATTATATTTAATATACAGATTTACTTTTAGTAAATAAATAATCAATATATATTTTTTAATAAAAAACTAAAAATAATTGAATATGGTATGAATTATTTATTAGTAAACTACTATAACTGACTCCATTTTCTCTCTGCTGATGTAAAAATCACCTCAGGTCATTATTCCCGATAAGAGAATGCATGATTGAATTACCATAAGACCCATTGCGACTTCTGCCATTTTATCGTGGTTCAAATCGAGGAAACTTTCTATCAGGTCGCCATCTATAAATCCTTCACACTGCTCAATCTTCAATTCCGTATTAAAACTTCTCCAAAAGTTGTGTTCTATCTTTCCCACGCTTTTTATCACGCTGTTTAATCTGTCCTCCATGTTACGCAGGAATTCATAAAATGTAAATGGTATTTGCGTCACCAGACCGATCGCACCGCTTACAGTGC